TTATTTATTTATTTATTTATTTTTGTGTGTGTGTCCAGCTCAGCCCACCTGGGGGCAGGGCTGGCTGGCATGTGGTGCTGGGGGATTGAACCATGGTCCAGGTGTTTTGCTAAGCTTGTTCTAAGTAGGTGCTTTAGAGCACTGAGCCATCTCACCAGCCCCTTATTTTTTTTTTTTCATCCCATAATTTCTAAGAGATGACCTAACAGAAGAACAGACAGTGAAAATGGCACTTGTTAGGAAAAATGCATCAGGCTGTACAAATATGACCAACACACTATTTTATGTTATTTTTTGATACCAGAAATTGAACTCATGGGGCCGGGGAGATGGCTCAGTATAATAAGTGCTTCCTTGGCAAGCTCAAGGGTCTGAGTTCAAACCCCAGTTCCGAAAAAAAGAAAAAGAAAAAGAAAAAAAGAAATTGAACTCAGGACCTTGTGCCACTGAGGTATATCCCTGGCACGTATGTGCTTTTCAAAAAAAGATTTTTTTTTTTTTTTTGGAGACAGTGTTCCCAGAACATAGTCCAGGTTGGCCTTGAATAGTGCATACAGAATAGTGTACTGGTCCTATTTGTGTAGCTGGATGCATCTTTGCTAGCATGTTAAGTGCCATTTTCAATGTGTGGCCTTTTGCCCATATGTAGTTCAGGGTGGCCTCACACTTGCAGTGATCCTCCCGTCTCAGCTTCCCAACTGCTGGAATGACAGGCGTGAACAACTGTGCCAGCCTATTTTAAAAAAAAAAAATGTCACTTTTTGTATTAAGGAATGAATTTTTTCTTCATTCTTTTTGTGGTACACGAGTTGAACTAAAGGCCCTTGCACCGAGTTACATCCTTATCCTTTTTTCTTTTTTCCCATTCTGACATAAGGTCTTGCTAAATTGCCCACGTTGAGTCCAAACATTTTGTCTTTTTGACTCAGGGTCTCACTATACAGTTCATGCTGGCCCTGAGCACACCAGGCTGGTCTCAAACTCACAAGGAGCTTCTTGCCTCAGCCTCCTGAGAGCTGGGATTACAGGTATGCACCACCATGCTGTTTAGGCTCAAGCTTCTGATTGCCTTCCCTTGACCTGAGTGCAGAGATTATAGGTGTGAGCCACTACACCTGCTGATCATGTTTCTTTAGGTGTAATAATGGCACTTTTTGAGCGGTGGGGCTAAAACAGGACCTTGCTGTGAAGTCAAGGTTGGCTTTGAATTTATTATGCACAGTAGTAGCCGGACTTGAACTTGAGATTCTCCTTCAGCCTCTCAGGTTCAAGGATTATAGACATGTACTTCATCTGCTATAATGGCATTTTCAAGTCTGTCTTAGCCAGTGCTGTGGCACATGCCTGTGAACCCAGCACTGAAGGAAACTGAGGCAGGAGGATCACAAGTCTGAGGCAACTTAGTGAGACCTTGCCTGAATAAAAGGAGCTGTAGCTAGTGGTAGAGCAATGGGTTTAAGCTCCAATACTGTAAAATAATCCATCCCATCTTTCTGAGCATACTAAAATAGATGATTTGTTGGCCAGAATATACTTAATCATAATTTAGGTGGAAAGGGGGAGAGTTAAGGTAAGGTCATGAGCTAATTATAAATGGTTGATTTCACTCTGTATAGCTGGGATTCCACGTGATAAAACATCTTAACAAAATCCCAAACAAGAGCTTTCTCCCGAATTTGCGGCCCATGGAACAAAGTCACTTATAATGCACTAAGTGAAAAAATCCACATAGGAAGTACATACAACTGATGGGCATCACAGCTTTGGGGTCCATCTTTATGTCACCTTCAGAGATGTATGCCTACGCCCTGGGCCACCTCTCCTAAATTCTACAGCTTCTGGGCCTGGAGATAGGTCAGTGGCATAAGTGCCTGCCTGGTAAGTGCAAGGTCCCAAGTTTGATCCCTGATAACACACACACACACACACAAACTAAAAAATAAAAAAAATTCTACAGCTTCATTTGTGACACTGCCACAGACATCATTTCCCCCTAAAGATTTGAATATCCAACAACCTTCATAGCAGGGGCCAAGCAGCTCAAAGGCTGAGAAAACAGGATGGCTTAAGCAGAAGAGAAGTTGCAGAAAATCCCTCTAGGTAAGAACTGTGGGGGACCTTGGCAAGGACACACAGCCCTCAGAATATGACAGCGGGGAGGCATGGGTGCCCCACATTGCAAGTTCTCTTTACCACTCGAACTTTCATTTTACATCCACCCTGTATTATATAAATACTAACTTTATAAAAACTTGAAACAGAAAGCACCTTTAGGTTGGCCCATCCCATAAGATGTGTTCACTACTCCCTAAGTCTCAGATGTACCTACAGAGTGGGATGGGCAGCTCCAGGTGTGGGGGAGAAGCAAACAGGCTGAGAGCACCTTTGTGGGCACATTAATGCTAAATCTAATCCCTCCTTCCCAGACACAGGCACTGTAGAATCAAGGAAAACGGGGTTAGGTTACAGGAGGGTCTTGCTGTCCACAACCTGGAAGTCATTCCCATTTTATAGTATTTGGCCATTCGGTGAAGATTAGCTAGGGACCACATACAATAAACAAGGAGCAGCCAACAAAATCACTTATGATCTCTGAAATGTTCAACAAACATGTGCAGAATGAGAAAACAAGTAACATGGCACAGAACTTAACAGTGCTTTTTCCCCTTGTTACTTGATTCAGGGTGTGTGTTTCAGCCAGATTATCTTGGGTCTAGAGGTGGAGCTTAGTGGTAGGGTACTTGCCTAGTATGTCTGAGATTCTGGGGAAGATGCCCTCAAGGCCTGCATGAAACAAAAACTTAACCTCTTTTTTTTTCTGAGGCAAGGTCTCACTATAGCCCCAGCTGGCCTCAAACTCACAGGCAATCCTCCTGCTTCAGCCTCTTGAATGCTAAGATTACAGGTGTGCATCACTGCACCCAGCTTGCATCATAGGTCTTGATGCCTGGTGAGTCCCAACTGTGTGTACTCTCACCAGCACTTCCCCCAAGTATATGTTTCCCCCTCCCTCCCCCCAACACACCATGGGTCCCACTCCCCTCACTAGATAGCATCTGCCTTTTCAAAAGCCTTCCTAACCTGAATGGTTTCTTGATCATGACTCCTTTCCCAGCCCAGCCACTCAAAGCCCTAGTTCCTCTGCTCCAGGAACCGCTTCATCAGCCAGCCAGAGCCACCCACCAGCTGCGGCGCAGAGGGCTAGCAGCTGCGAACCTGGGCTCTGCCCCACCTGTGTTCCATCAACATGGCAGCCAAAGGGGGAAACCCAGGACCTCTGGGGCTCTGGGTTGTGGGGGAGGCTTACCCCAGCCCCAGCTGCCAGCCCATGCCAGCCTGTCCACTAGACAGAAAAACACACGCTGGCCGCCTGCCCCAGGGTGTTTCCAGAAGAGAAATTTAATCTAATTTACATACTTCTAGATACATTGATAACCAAAAGGTGGCCACTGAAAAAAGTTAAAAGGTCAATCTGCTCCCGTTATCTAGCTGGCCTAGGATTGCAAAATAAAAAGATCCACGTTCCTTCTTCTCTACACAAAATGCATTTTTAAAAAAGTGAAAGGTCTAGGGAGCTATACATAGAAAGCAATAGTGAAAAAGGGGAGGGAGGCAGGGGCGGGGGAGAAGAGTCCCACCCCACCACCACACACTCCTGGCCCCAAAGCCCCTGAGGCTGGGAGGGGGCCTTGACATGGCAGGAGGCAGCTGTCAGCTCTGAGCTCTTCGCAGCTAGGAAGGCCCCTTTGGGGGGCAGCCAACAAAGATTTCCGTGGCATTGTGGGCTCAGTCGGGGCTCCCAGGCCCAGCAGGCCCGCAGAGGGAGCAAGGCTTCCCCTGAGCAAGCACCGTGGCGTGATGTGGTTGTTCAACGTGGGAACTGGGGGTCTGGGGTAGATCCCGGGTCTCACGAGGTGCATGTGTGTATGTGTGCGAGGGTGTGTGTTTGCATGTGCGTGTATGAGACAATCTGCATGGGGGCAAGAGGGAACCAGAACAGGGGTCTTTGGGGTCTTTGCAAATGGCCACGGATGGCAGACATAGCCCTGCCTGGCTGCTGGACACAGGAGGGTGCTGTCCTCCTGTGACCAGATCAGCTGCCACCAGGGACTTGGCTGCAGCCCCTGCTGGACTGGGGAGCATGGACTGGAGGAAGACACCCTGTGGCCCCAGAGTCCTTGGGCTGGGGGAAGGGTGACTAGCTGGCTCCTGGCACCCCAGCTGTAGTGTGCCCGGCCCCTGAGGGGTACCGGTTTGAGGTTTTGGCTTGCTCCTTTGGAAACAGAAAAGAAAGGGGAAAGAGAGGGAAGAAGACACAGAGGAGAAATGGACAGGTGGCACGAGGAGAGATCTGGAATGCTTCTGTGTTAGGGTGCCTCTGCCGAAGCTGTCTGTGCCTGTGGGGCGGGGAGCTCCTCAGGCAGGGGGTCTGCTTTAGAGAAATTCATCTCCAGGATGTGCCGCTGTAAGTGCCGTACCCACTCTTCCTGGATGGAGAGGGGGCCCTGGAACTCCACTTCACAGAACCTGTGTCAGGGGAGAGAGAAGGGCCGCTGCTGTGGAGAAAAGCAGACACAAAACCTTGTCCTCATACCCAGGATTTAAGGGAAGAGGGCTGCGGAAAGAAGCCAGGTATCCCTCCATGGACAGCCATCATGGTTCCCAGGCCCCTCTGGATCAGAGCTGGTAGGAAGCATGGGGAGGCATAGCCTACCCAAGTCATCAGATCCCTCCTCTTTTTTCCCTCACAGGACCCAGAGTTCTGTGGCTTCAGAGATAGGCTTAAATCTTTTGACTTTTGAGATGGAGTCACTGTAATTCAAGCTGACCTTGAACTCTTGGAGATCCTCTTAGTCTCTTGAGTTCTGTGATTACAGGCAGGCACCACCCAGCTCACCTATATCCTACTTCTGACTTGGCCTGGGTAGCCTGAGATGACTCACCTCATGTCTGCAGAAGCCCAGTTTCCTGGTCTCTGATACACACATGGACTTTGACAAGAATCAACTAAAACCTGTTTTTTCTTAATCAGACAAATATTTGTTGAGAGTTTACTGTGGGCTAGGTATGACTCAGTGTATTTTTAACTATTAAAAATTCAATTCACACCTGTAATTGTAGGACTAAAGAGGCTGAGGCAGGAGAATCACCACAGAGGATAACCTGGGCTACATATTGAGTTCAAGGCCAGCCTGGACTACATAGCAAAACTCCATGTAAAAGTCTCAAAAAAACAAAAAAGAATACCAGAACAACAAACTCAGTCCTGATCAAATCTATCAAGTAGTCTTGTTAGTGAAACTGTCTTAAGGGTGGGGAAATTTATATGGAGAAAGTAACTCCTTGCTTGAGGTACTAAGCTACACTGTTAAGACTAAGGATCTGAACCCAGGTCTTGTTGAAGACAAATTTCAAGTGGCTACCTGATGGTTCAAAGTGCAGCAGCTTGTGAGGGGACTCTGGTGTGGGTCCTGTCACACCTAAGGACAGCCCATAAGGCCCTATCTCCTAGCTGGCACCAGCGCCTGTCCTGCTCTGAGGGTCCCTGTAGCCAAGGGCCAGCTAGGTATATACCTTTCCGCTCCCATGGGCAGCATACCTGCACTTGAGGGTGTATATGTTGCCAACGAATTTGACGAGTGATGTCTGGGGTGGCCGAGGCACCAAGGAGGGGACTGGCCGGACACGGGGTGGAGGCTGCCGCACCTCTTCCAGCTTATGATGCAGGTCATTGGCCTCTTCGCTGCCCCGGGCTGTGGAGGCGTCTGGGGGGCGGGCTTGTCGGCGCTCAAATTCTAAGGTGGGGAGAGAGGTGGGGGGTAAACAGGAAGACCTGGGCCCTGGGGACAGCGCTGCCTTCAGCGAGTCAGGGTGATGCTGTGGGAACCTATGACGAAGGACAGATGACTAGCAGCCACCTGGATGGGTGGGATGGTAGACAGAAGGCTGAACAACTGGCAAAGAGAATGTGGCCCCCAAGGGTGCCCCTCCTCTGTGGATTGGCACTCACTGTTGATATTCTGCCGCTGGTGCTCCTCAGCCTTCACAGTGCCTGGTGGGCTGGCTGCCAGAGGCCGCTCACCACCATCAGCTGCCCGGCCAGCCTCCGGTCCCAGCTCCCCACCAACACTGCGGCCAACGAAGGACAGACCCCCAGGTGCCAGCCCCAGGGGTGGCCGTCGGTCACTATCACGGCCATGGCCAGTGCTGCGGAACTTCTTGGTGAAGGGGCGACCGCCCTGGATGTAGCTTCGGTAGGCGCCCACCTTCTGGGGCCGGTGCTTGATCCACTCGCTCAGTGTCTCGATGGGTGAGCCATTGACACACCACTCCGTCACACCGAACTGCCGAAGGTGAGCCCGTGCATGGCTGGCCAGGGCTTTGCGGTTCTCAAAGTAAAGGCCACAGAGCTCGCAGCAGGCCTCGGTGGCTGCAGGCAGAGGGGTTGCTGCTGAGCCAAGGCCCCGAGGGGACAGATGTACCCAGATGGCCTCCAATCATCCCACCTCCCACAAGGACCTTGCCTCAGGGGCCCTGCTTGGGGTCAGTGTGGGTGTCTGCGGCACTGCCTGGTCTCAGAGGCCCTGGCAGATGCCCTCCCAGGACCCTGCCACCCACTGCTTACAGGAGTGGGAGGTCTTCTCATGGAGGGTCTTTGCCTTGAATGGCAGTTCAGTCTGGATGTAGGTCTTGGCCTTGACCTCTGCTGGGAGGAGGCGGTCCTCCTGCAGGGGCCGCTTGGCTGCCACTGAGCCTATGAAGCTGGTGGCTGAGGGCTTGGCGCCAGTGATGGGCGTCAGACTGAGCTCCCGGGGAACCTGGGCTGGCCCAGCTCCTGGTTTGCCTGGCCGGCCAGCCAGGGGCGACAGTAGCAGTGAGGACTGCACAGGCCCAGGGGCCACTGTAGGGGGCCCATCCTCAGCCAAGGAAGGAGCCAGGTCCCCAGCTGGCGGCTCCTTCTTGATGAGGCACGGCTTGGACTTCTTCTTCAGGATCTCCCGCAGCGTGTCGATGGGCGAGCCATTCACGGACCACTCGGTCACGCCCATCTGCCGCAGGTGGGAGCGCGCATGGCTCGACAGGCCCTTGCGGTTCTCGAAGAACTCACCGCAGAACTCACAGCGGATGTCGCGCACCGGCTCTGCCCGGGACGCTGCAGGGAGTTGGGGGGGTGGGGAGGGGGAGAAGGAGGGGGCGGCTGCGGGCAGGAAGCCTCCAAGCTCAAGGCCCATGTCAGTGCCGGCTGCCCCTGTCCATGCCCCCACCACCCTCCACCAGACCAAGGACCTGCTCCCTCATCTGGGCCTCTAGAAGCTCCTGTCAAGTACGCAGCCTTTCTACATGTTCAGCTGGCTTCGTGATGGCACCCTGTGTGATGCTGGGCCAGCCACTTTCCCTGAGCCTCAGTTTCCTCCTATGTAAGATGGAGATGGAAACCCTCACTTCCCAGAGGGACTTGGAAGGATGGAATTGAAAATAATTTAGATCACATGGCATGCTGCCAACACATGAGCTCTAAGGCATTGCCTGGACTGCCCTCACCTGCTTGGTTTGCAGCAGGCACTGAATCAACCCTAGCAAAACGGACTAGCGATGGTGTGGGAGTGAAGCAAGAGACAGTGACAGGACAACAAGTACTGCAGACAGCTTTCCACAACCAGACACTGCGCTAAGTGCTTTACCCTGCTGAATCCTGAGAAAACGGTACAAATGCAGGATTATGCTGATTTCCATCTTCCAAATAAGGAAACTTGTCCAAGGTCACCTATTACTAGGTTATGGAAAAAAAGAGATCGCAACTCAAACTTGACTCCAAATGCCAACAATCCAATTACCAGGAATGTCAAGAAGACACAATTCAGACATTCACTACTGAGCCCTACTTGTCTGTCCTGTCTCCCATGGCAGACATCACTAATTGATGCATGCTGTCCTATCGCCCTAGAAGCCTGACAGGAAATCACTATCAATCAAAGGAAGATGGCACTGCCAAAGGGTACAATTCTGCCTTCTTGGTATGAGCAAAGAGGAGTCAAGCAGCAGCTCAGTTGCAAGGGCCTGCATAGCAGGAATGCACAGCTAGCCCAAGGTCCTCTGGCCTGTGCAGCCTCCCTTCCATTTCAACCCTGGGCACTATGGATACCCCCAAGGGGAAGCAGGGAGGAGACCCCTCCAACTGTTCTCCCTGCCCTGCCACAGGGTCACACTTACACAGGTTCAAGGGTGTCATGTCTTCCCGCGGCGCCCCCCAGGGACCCTCAGATGGGTGCGTCTCCCCATGAAGGGCCCCCGGCAGCATCTCCCGCTTGATCTCCACCCGCATTTGTTCAGGCTTCAGCTTCTTGGGTAGGGAGGGTGCAGCCAGGCCTGGGAACATCTTCCGGGCCGTGGGAGGAGGAGAAGCAGTTGGTGAGTGGCCCAGGGGGCTGCCTGGCGGTGGTGGTGGTAACTTCTTGGCCAGGGGTGACATGTGAAGGTCTGAAGGACTGCGGGCTTCTAGTGAGCTGCTAGGACCTCCACTGCCCACCACCTTGGCCAGCGCTTTTGAGCTGGGCCCTGGAGGGTGGGGATGTCCACCAGGCCGAGACTGGGTCCGTCTCTTCAGGATCTCCCTCAGTGTGTCAATGGGCGAGCCGTTGACGTACCACTCGGTCACACCCATCTGCCGAAGGTGGGAGCGTGCATGGCTTGACAGGCCCTTTCGGTTCTCAAAGAACTCACCGCAGAACTCGCAGCGGATGTCTCGTGTTGGCTCTGGGCCGGAGGCTGTGGCAGGAGCAGAAAAGGGCAGTCAGAATCATTGGCACTCTTGGCAGTCATCTGCAGGAGTGTCCTGGTTGGCTGGGTGTGGGTGGCAGCGCACTCACAGGCTAGGGTGGTGGTGGAGGGCAGATGCAAGCTAGGGAGCTCAGGAGCATGACAGGGGACCAGACACCCAGCAGGAGCAAGGGGAGGCTCCAAAGAGCCAATAGGCCCTCAGTTCAGAACCGAGACTCCATGGCTCTGTGGGTCCTAACAAGGATAGGATGGGAGGGCTGGAAGTGGCAAGCCTAGATGCCACCTGCCATAGAGACCACGGGCAGATGTGGGCACCTTCCATTCCAATAGGCAGGACCTCCCTTGGCCTTCATTCTCAGGGAGGGTCATGGTTATAGAGATCAAAGGCCAAGAGAGGGCCAAGCAGCCCACTGCCAACAAGATCTCTGGGCAGAGCCAGCCCACACTGCTAAGGGCCCCTGTCTACTCCCTGTCCCCACATGGAGAGAGTAGGGAGAGGGTTGTGACCTCCCCCGGGAGGGGCTCCAGGGCCCACAGGGAGGAGGGGGTGGCCGAAGGGAGAACCTACAGAGGTTGAGAGGAGACGGCTCCACATCAGAGGCCCAGAAAATGCCGGCGGCTGCAGCTGCCGAGAGGTCCTGCTTCCCCCAGGGGCTGGCCATACCCTCGGCCTTCAGCTTGGCCTTCTTGGCCGGCGGTAGAGGGGGGAGCAAGGAGAGGGCTGTGGAGGCGGAAGGAGGCCGCCCCAGCTGGGCCAGGGCGCCGTGCCCGGGTGGGAGGCGGATCTGGACGCCGTCCCTCCTGATGAGCCCGTGGAGCACGTCTATGGGGGATCCCTTGGCGTCCGGGTCGCTGACGCCCAGGTGGCGCAGGTGGGCACGGGCGTGGCTGGACAGGCCCTTGCGGGTCTCAAACCAGGCACCACACAGCTGGCAGTCCAGCTCTCTGCCCCCGTCACTATCTAAAGCTGCGGAGACAAAACACAGGGGGGTTCACGGCCGCCACCTTGGCTGGCCCTGGAGGACAGAGGCAGGAGGGTCTGGTGTGATTCTTAGCTGCCCAAGCAATTTAGGGTCCAGGTCTTATGTCACATATTTATTTTGAGACGTTTTGGGCAGCAAGACATCTGTTCCCTGCCTAGCCCTTTGGCATAAAGCTAAAAACGGAGAATTTAAGTATGTTATATGGACAGGTGGCAAGGAAATTCCTGTGGCAAATTCTGATGCTCCCAGTCCCTCTCCCTTGGGACCCCTGCTATGGAAGATGTGGGGGCAGCCAGTGGGTGGGTGGTAGGAGCCATGGGCTACCAAGCACCACATGACCAAGGGCACAGCTACTGAAAGCACAGCAGATGTAGTGCAAGGGGCTTCGACTGGGATGCTCTGAGGGACAGGAGGCCAAACTATCACCCAAGACTCTAATGCCTACAAATGCATGAGAAAGGCTGATGTCCTGTACAATATCCTCACGAAACCTGTTTACTGTGCCCTTCCTTCTTTCTTCTCAAGCCCTATATTCCAAGCCCACAGGCAACCCAGATAGAAGGGTTCCACCTCTGGGCACCAAGAGTGACAGATACCTCCACATAGTATGGCCAGAAAGACACAAAGACTGGCCAACCACAGGGACCTCCTGTTAGGTGGACCACCTGTCTACCTGCAGGACTTAGATGCCCCAAACGCCTGCTGGGGAAGCCAGGCCCACAGGAGCTGTAGTGACTCTCACTGTAGCACCCACCCTCAGCCCAATGAGATGAGGCTGAGAGCTGCCCCAATGTGCTGAGGATGACCTCAGTGGGTTCAGCAGCTGCAGCTAGGTCTCCAGGGCAAGCTGCACAAAGTGGGGGAGACATAGTGAGTGCCTCAATCAGCACTGTGACCCAGCTGACCCAGTATATAGGAGTTGCATCCCCCCACTGTCCCTCCCAGTGCAGGACCCCCCTCAGCACCCAAGACCCACACTCACTGAGGTTTAGGGGCCCCTCATCCTCAGACTGGGACCACTGTGCCTTTGGGGAGGCTGGCCGGGGGCTCAGAGATAGCTGAGGGCTCTTGTCTTCAGGATTCTTCGGGGTAGGAGAGCCCGCCAGAGCCAGAGGTGCCTTCTTGAGCAATGGAGAGCTGGGTGGGTGGGCCAAGCCCTTGGCTGAGAAGCCTGGAGGCGACTTGATGGCTTTGTTGACAGCAGGAACATCCAGGGGCTTGGCCAGGCTAAGCAGGCCAGGCCGGGTAGAGCTAGCGATCAACTCCTTTGGTGAGCTGGACTTTTTTGCCAGGCCTGGGGGCAGCCCAAGGGGACCATCAGGCAGGCCCTTCTGTTTCACAAGCTCGTAGAGGAGGTCGATGGGGGCACCACTGCTCTCTGACTCTGCCACTCCAAGCTGCCGCAGATGGGAACGTGCATGGCTGGACAGACCCTTCCGGGTCTCAAAGCAGGCACCACAGACCTCGCAGGTGGTCAGGCTCTGGGCTGGAGGGTGAGATGGAGGCCAAGAAAGAAGGCTATGAGCTGCAAGTTCAGCTCAGCTACTTTTTCTCCCCCTTACCCAGACTCCAGGTTAAGGGTTTGCTTCTCTCAAACCCCTTGATCCTTACAGTGATTCTAATGAGGTGCGGATAAGCCCATCTGGTTTGCAAGTAGATAAACTGAGGCTCAGAGGAGGGAACAGTGGTGCTCAAAGATATAGAGTAGGAGGCAGAGTCCTTATGTGGTCCAGTCATTGGGGATTCCTTTCTGACCCCTGAAGCACCAGGGTGCCCTGGCAACATGTTCACACCAACACTGGCTTATCAGCCCTGTGCTGCATGTCAAGCTGAACCCAAGCCACTTTCTGGGGCTCAACTCATGTCCTAAATGCTCAGTGGGAGGCCTCGGCCAAGGTCCCTGAGGTTCCCTGCACCCCCTTCTGCACTGCCTTTATCGCTTGTCCGTTTGCTTCTTTGCCTCCCCACCCTCCAGCTTTGATGACCCAAGGGCAAAGGCCAGGTCTGTTCTGCTCCTCTGACATTCCTAGGAACCAAACATGGTGCTTGTTACTACTCAAAACAACCGACAGACTAATGAGTGTTACACGAAAGATGACACAGCTAACAAGAATCAGAGTTAGTAAAAGATCAGGTCTGATTGGAAGCTCTTGACAACCATGAGTACTGCTTCTCTGGATTGTCCAATGAGGATACAGCAGGGGAACACGTACAGCTGGGGCTGCAGAAGCTCAGGGGAGAAGACAGCTGGGGTCTCCTCAATGCCTACAAGAGCTAGACACAAAGCCATGTTCCACTTGGGGACTCACATTAATTCCCAGGTCTAGAGTTCCCCAGTGAGTATAAGCTGCCTGGCCAGGACCCCACATACACCCTGTCACCTGGGCCACTCACCCTTGAGGTCCGGCAGCTCCTGTTTGCTGCCATGAGGAACCTCTGCGGCCACTTTGGTGCTCAGTCGACTGGCCACTTGCTCCAGAGCCCCAGGGACTGGCAAGGTCTTCTTAGGGAGCGAGGGGGACCCCAAGTCCATAGCCACCATTGTGTTTTCCTCAGAACCTAGGCCTGTGGAGTGGAGGAGATAGACTCAGGCCAGAGTCTGGCTGTCTACTCCCAGAAGGACAGAGGACAGCACTTCTGCCTTATCTTTGGCACCTGCTGTCACTCTGGGAAGCATCTTCCCCCCTGGAAAGCTCAAGCTCTACCCACAAGCTCCAGCGCCAGTATAATACAGGGACAGTGAGGTTGCCCAACGACTTCAGAGATAAACAGCCGCTTCCACCCACTAGAAGATGAAGGTCAGGGGACTCTATGCAAGTCTGAGCTGAGATTCCCATGGCAGGGGTCTCAGAGAAAACCAATGCTCTGGACAGAACTTATAAGAGAGGTACTTATAAGTGGGCACAGTCAGAAAGGGAATTAGACAAAATAAGACCAGGGTCAGGAGACCTGAGAGACAGTGCAGAAGCAGGGAGACAGAGGGACTGAAGATTTAGAAGAAATCTCCATCATAAAAGACAGCTTGAATTGGGACTCAAGAGACATCATGGGTCCAGGGTGGTCTACTCAGTACCAGTCAACCCCTAAATGGGGACAGGCAAAAACAGGGGCCTGGACCAGCATCAATCTGACTGGGGGACAAGCAGGATGGGAATCAAAGAACTTTGTGTGAAGTTCGCGAAACACCTAGACAGAAGAAAACAAAAGTGGGTTTCCCTGGTTTAATTCTTCATAGCAAGGGGCCCAGGAGGCCTGTTTGCATGAAGAGTGAGTTCAGGGCATGGCGAGAGCTCTGAGTGTGAAGGAACTGTTCTAGGGCACCTCGGAGTTGCTCCATGGAAACCAAGAAGGCAGAGGGTCCAGGTAGGTCCCCTGTTCAGTCTGAGTCCTATAAGAGCAAGAACGCAGGTAGGGAAGCCAGAGGAGACCAGGACCCCGAGAACTTTGCCAAAGTCTCCGGATGGGGTGGGCGCGTCTGTCAAAAGCGACAGGGCCGAAGTGGGGTTGCGCACCTAGGGGGACCGGAACCGCAACGAGGAACGCTCTCGAGACTCCGAAGGAAGCAGAGAACACCTGTCAGGATGGTGGAAGAGCCCGAGAAGCAGTGGCGGGGTGTTTTCTCAGACCCGGGACCCTGCGATGGCGACAGAGTCGCTCCCCGGCCCGCACGACTTTTGGGGCGGGGGGGCAGGGACCCCGCATTGGATGGTGGGCATCGGGAGCAGCACGGGCGCGCGGGACACGGACTCTCTCTTCCTCGACCCTCACAGGAGCCGACTCTTACCCGGCGGGAGCGCGGGCCCGGGTCCCGGCTCCGGCTTGGCCTTGGGCCCGTCCCGCGGCAGCGGCGGAGGCGGCGGCGGCGG